AGAAATATGACCAACGACGATGGCATCAGCGTTCTCGACCCACGTCGTTTCACTCCAACCTTACACGCCAATCTCGTAGCCGAGATCCTGAACTTGAGGCGAGATCAGGAAGAAAAGGCGAAGCTTATCGAGAACCTAGAAGTATCCTTGCACGCCTCCCGCCAGGAGCAGGAGACACTTCAAGAGACAGTAGCCACCACAACAAAACAAAGCCGTTCACTTCAGCGTCAACTAGCCCTTCTAGAAGGCGGTACCTCATCAGCACTGGGCGAGCTCGCCCGCGAGAGGGATGAAGCCGTCGATTCCATTACAGAAACGAGAAAGAGACTCGAGTCGGCCCAGAAGAAGATCCGAAGTCAGGAAGAAGACTCTCAGAGGGTTCACGACCTTTGGGCTCAGGACAAGGACTCTTGGGAGGAGGAAAAGCGCAAGTATGAGCGTAGAGTCCACATTGCTGAGAGCCGCTTGAAGGTGGTGATAGACGAGGTCGCCGCCTACCAGGCTGCACAAGTTAACGGCGACGGCAATGACAGCGAGACAGAGGATCAAAACGACGCGGGAAGTGTGAGGACTATGAGCTTGACTAACAGCGTCCGATTTTCCATGCAACAGAGTCCCGGCAAGGTCTTCAATGGAAACTCACTGGCGGACGAGCTCAACCTCGATGGCGACGACGACTGGCAGACTGACGACGGCGGACGCGAGAGCGCCATGTCCAACTATCGCCACACACGAACATTCAGCCGCGATAGCATTCTGTCCAAGATTCACCGACGACAACAAAGCATGGAGAGCCCCCAGCGTCCTGGAAGCGTTACTAGAGGTAGACTTTGGATGAACCAGCCCGTCCTGGAGGCCCTGGAAGACGGAATCCAAGAGAACGATGAGGATCTGATGCCGCCTCCGCCGCCGCCGGCTCCCAAGGTCAGCTACACCGACACCGGAATTCAGTACTCGCCTCCTCCATCACCGAAGATGAAGCCTGTCAAGCCTTCCACACCGGAACCGCCTGCCAAGATCGAAAAGCTCACGGAAGTCGAGGCCTCTCCAAGAGGCGAGTGGGAAGTTGAGGCCAATCAAAGACGGAAGCGAGTTCACGTTAACCGACCACTGTCGATTGAGCCGCGTCCTTTCAACCACATGGTCTCCGCTGGTTCTCAGACTGTTGAGGAGCCTTTGAGCCCCCCGAAGACGCCGAAGTCCCCCTACAGATCTTCCACCCCGCCCCCTCCGGAAACTCCGCCCACGGTGATGGTTTCATCCTCGACTCAGACCGACAAACCGGTGGAGAGGCCTCAGACACCTCCCGTTCTGCGGCCAGTGCAAGAATTGACCATTCCATCCATCAGTATCATCCCGCCCACGAGCCGCCCGACTACACCACGCGAACACCGGCTTCCACAATACGTCAAAGACTTTGGTTGCCAAGTATCCATCATCTCCTCAGCTCCCATGAAATCCACTGCCGTTCAGACCGAAGAGATTCTTTCTGACAAGAGGCTGGCGACACTACCTGTCCACCTGCGCCCCTCAGCTATCACGTCCCGGCCCTCATCGCCCAGCGTCGGTATCGCTACTGCCGTGACGAGTGATGATCCTCGCCATTTTACTCCGGTGCCGGGACATCTCCCACCACGAAATCCTCGAAGACTCGCTACGAAGCGCAGCCTGTCGGACATGCCTTCGTCACCGCCAGTCTCGCCAGTCTTTGGCGAGCAAACCCGCGACGCATACCCTGGCAACAATGATGACGGGCCACTGTCGAGAGAAGGCGCGCCTATGAGACGACCACACCGTATCAGCAGTCTGTTCGCCGGCTTCCAAGATGCCCAGAGCTCCGATGAGGTTGACGAGTTTGATGCTGATGTGAGCGACTCTGAGTACCGAACCGCCCTTTCCGCCCCTGGCATGAGAATGACGGACTCCCGAGCCTCCAACCGCACATCTGTCAGTACCTTTACATCGCCGGAACAAACAAAGAGGTCAGCCCCTAGCAGGAACTCCATGCGCCTCGCAAACGATAGTTATGGAGGCAATCTGGAAAGCAGAGAAGCACCCAAGAGGCAGTCTGCCAAGCCCACTGCCCGCGGGTATGAGAAGTCTACCGCGGGACCTTCGGGCAAGAACGTCATGCGGAAGTCTGCTATGATCCAGAGTGGAATCGCCAGCCACCAAGGCCGTTCTAGAAGCCCGAGCGTTCCAGAAACTCGTGCTCCCGACCCGCCTTTCCCCATACCTACCAGAGCTAGCTCTCGGCGACCGCCATTCAGTGCCAGCGCTCCGAGCGATGGCCAACGAAGCCCAACCAAGATGGACGCACCGTGGCATCGCCGAGGCATGGGCCGTAATCACTACCGTGCCGGCAGCATCCATCGTGCCAACAGTATCCGTAAGGTGCGATCAGCTGCGGCCCTTCCTCGTAACCAGAGAAATCGGAAGCAAAGTAGGTCCCCGCCGCCCTTCTCGGAGACGACCGAAGCGCCGGAGAGCCCCAGCTTGCCTCCTCTTCCGTACAACGACATCACCAGCCCTCGGTACGACACCAGCTCCAACTACCGGTCCCACAAGTCCAGGCTGTCGACAACAACGGCACAAACGGCTACCACCGATGTCAACTCTGTTGGCGGTGCATCCAACGGCGCCTCGCAAGCCACGGGCGTCGTCGACGCCATTGCGCAGACCATGGTCGGTGAATGGATGTTCAAGTACGTCAGGAGACGCAAGTCATTTGGCGTGCCCGATAACAGCAAGGACGACTCGAGCAATGACCGCCACAAGCGATGGGTCTGGCTGGCTCCCTATGAGAGAGCTATCCTCTGGAGCAGTAAACAACCTTCATCTGGCAGTGCCCTCATGGGTAAGACTGGTCGGAAACGTAAGTACGACATCTTGACTTAGCACAAGCCTTGACTAACATGAAGCAGTAACCATTCAGTCTGTGCTTGACGTCAAGGATGACAACCCCGCCCCTAAGAACCAGGGTGCAGTTTTCAACCGTTCGATTCTCATATTGACTCCGCAAAGAGCGTTGAAGTTTACGGCTACGTCTTCTGAGAGGCACTACGTGTGGCTGACGGCGCTTTCATTCCTGGCACACTCGACCCAAGCAATCCCTGAAATCGTCGCTGCTCCCCAACCTGCGAAACCAACCACGGTACCGGACTTTGAACCACCGCAACCTACCAGGCGACCTGGCATTCGTGATTCCATTCGACTGACAAAGAGCAAGGCCCCCTCGATGAAGAATCCCGGACCGCGAAGTATTCCAAGCGTGCCCAGTATTCCTAGCATTCCCTCTTCCAGGACAGGCGACGTCTCTGGTTACAAACAAATGGAGGCATTTCCACCCATGCCGACCAACAACAACAGCAGCAGCAGCAACAACAACAACAATAATAACAACCATCAACGTGAACGCTCTGGGGACGCAGCGGAACCACCATTTATCCCTAGATTCACGGAGCGCTCGAATCAGAACGCGGTCCACGGACGGAAGCGAAGCAACACCGGAGGCCACGTCCCGCCTCCATTGTCCTTCCGTGGATTCTCTGGACCAGGCAGCGTTGGACAGCACAGCTACACCAATAGCAACGCTGGCAACAGCGTTGGCACAGCCGGCTCATCCGATATCTACCAGTCTCAGCCATCCCAAGGCTCAAGCAGGCAGAGTTGGGGCATGAGCACAGCCGGCTCTCAGCGGACTTCGGAAGCCTCTTCACGACCCCCAGGTGCCAACTTCTTTGATGCCATTGGTACCGTGCGCATGGAGGCCTTCATCAGCCCATTAGCCCACTCGGGCTTTGACAGAGACCCTGATGAGTATGAGGAATACGGATACCGGGCTCGTAGGCGTAGTAAGGAGCTTCGAAGACGGCAAAGTCGTAGCCGTCACCGTGACAGCTATAGTTCTCGCGGGACGCGCGGCACAGACGGCTACCATGGTAGCAGCCGAGCGACTGTGGAAGATGACTACTTCCGAGATGACCCTTTCAAAGGCTTCTAAATGAGAAGCCGTCAAGTCCTTTACATTGTCCCTTGTCGCGAAAGGTTTGGATTGGCCGGAGCGCGCGGGATTGCATTCATTCGATACGATACCCAATGTGTACTATTTCTCATGTGTAATCAAGGTGTGGAGTGGCGAAACAGAACTAGACTCCTGTGCCACCTTGTGGACGGAGTTGGTAGGATCAAAAGGCTATGGCTGCCGTCGGCAGGCCAAGGAGATATTATCGTGCCTGGTTTGGCTAGAGGGCCGCAGGCTTTGATGGTCTCAGATGCTGTTGGGGGTGTACGATGTAGGTAAGGCAGTCAACAATGTGGTGTTGATGTTACCTTTGGTAGTGTATATAGGTCCTTAGGGACAGATGGCTAGTCAATCAAAAACTGTAAAATTTAATGTTCGATCCTGATAGTGTGATGTAGGTGGCATGGTAGCCAACATTGAACGTAATGGTCTGAAACCTCGGGGGTAAGAAAGTCTGCTTCTTGGCGGCCATTCGTCGAGCGAGTGGTGCTCGGGCGAAGTCGAATTACGGGCGGCTCTCCGGGGGGGCACGTACCGACCCCGCACCGCAAGCAGCGAACTTAACCCCCACCAAGAAATTTCGCCCCTCCATTGACTTCCAAGCTCGGAGCTCCTAGTGACAACACAATTCGAAGCTCACATTCTCGCCCTTTAGACACGGCCGATTCGTTTCCTGCCTGATTGAACCAAGACCTCATCGTCAGCGGAGCACCGGATTGAAGCGCCGGATTTCTCCTGTGAATCAGGCAGGACGCAACGGTAACCCCCACCCCGACATCCGCCGCAAACGTCACACATTGATTCCTGTGCCCATTACCTCGCGAGACCGCCCCTCACATAACCATATACGAACACGCTCCTCTTTATCCATCTCTCCCAGCCGAAGCGAGCCGAAAACCGAAATCGAAATACTACCTTCAAAAAGTTTGTGCGTGAAAGGTACTCCACGAGGAACAGAAGAAAGAAAGAAATCATCATGGAGTCCGAAACGCTGGAGCAGATGCAGACGCGGCACCGCAAGGAGCAGCGCGACCTCGTGGGCCGCATCACGAGCAAGAAGAAGAACGCGACCAAGAAGACGCGCAAGGGCGTGAATGACGAGTGCGCTGAACTGGAGAGGCAGTTGAAGGCGAAGCACGAGGAGGAGGTGGCCGGGTTGTCTGGCGGCGGTGGTGCTGCTGCCGAGAAGGAAGTCCAAGACAACGACGACGACGGCGACGACGGTACGAGGGACGAGACTGCCGAGGTTGCGGAGAAGTTGAGGGGCACTACCATTTCCGAATCCGAAACGCCGGTAGAAGAAGAGAAGGAACAGACACAGGCACAAGGGCAAGGGCAACAAGGAAAGAAGCGCAACAGACAAAAGGAGCGCCTGGCGCGGCGGGCGGCCGAGATAGAGGCCGCGGCGGAGAAGGCGCAGGAGGAGGCGAGTGGCATGACGGACCACCGGGGCATCGAGAAGACGTACATGCTCAAGGAGTTCAAGGCCAACGGGCTCGAGGAGAAGGAGATTGCGCCTGACGGGCACTGTTTGTTTTCTGCTGTGGCGGATCAGTTACGGCAGCAGGGGATTCCGCTCGCCGCTGGTGGTGCTGCTGCTGCTGAAGAAGCAAGTAGTGGTGGTGACCCGACGCAGAAGCTCCCGTACAAGGTAGTGAGGAGGGCGGCGGCGGAGTACATGACGGCCCACCCGGACGATTTTGCGCCGTTCCTGGAGGAAGGGTTGGAGGGGTACGTGAGGCGGATCCGGGATACGGCGGAGTGGGGTGGACAGCTTGAGCTTGCGGCGCTGGCGAGCGTGTATGGGGTTGAGATTCGGGTTGTGCAGGATGGGAGGACGGAGAGGATTGGGCCGGCGGCGGGTGGTGGAGGTGGTGTTGATGATGATAAGAAGGAGATTTGGTTGGCGTATTATCGGCATGGGTATGGGCTTGGTGAGCATTATAACTCTTTGCGGAAGACAACGGCGTGAGGTGTGTGGTATAGGTACGGTTAGATGGCGGAGGGTACGGAGAAGATTATATTCCCAACTTTATGTACATGGAGTTGAGGGCGTTGCATGGCATAGACATACATCATTGACCGACAAGAGCAAACCATCTACAATCAGAGTCATGTTTCCTCGTCAGTTCTCAAGGACTAAAGACATGAACCCAATCGCGAACCGACCCGTCCTCATTCATACCAGCGCGATGCGTCCTAGCAGGCTTAACGAGCGCCAGCCGCTTCAGACCGGTGGTGTCTTTCTCGCTCGGGGCCGTGGGGACGACGACGACGTCGGCCTCGTCGCCCGCCAGTGTCGAAGACGAGAACTCGAGCGGTTGGCCGGGGCGTGTGAGCAGAGCGAGGTAGATGTCCGGGTTCAAGCCCCACGGAGGGCCCGGCTGGGAAAGAGGTTTGCCGGACGGAAATTCGAGGCAGATGAGGCGGCCGGTGGTGGGGTTTAGGAGGGAGGATATGCGGGCGGACCATTGGGGGCGTGCTGTTGGGGGGAGGGCGCAGAGGAACTTTGGATGGGTATCAGTTTGTTTTCTGTTTGTTTGGTTTTGTTCTGGTTCCTACTGGCCGTTCTATTTGAGAGCCGTTGAGAATAGTGATACTTACAGTGTAATCAAAGATGAGGTTAAAGGTCTTGTCCGCGCGAGGCCAGGCCTCGAGCCACGAATCGGAGAAGAAGTCGCCCGAGAGCCACGTCACGGAACCCGGCTCGGCGCCGTTTGGTTGGCGGATAACGTTCACGTCCGGCTCTGCCCCGTCTCCGTTGTCGTCTCCGTTTCCATCCCCGGTGGCCGCCGCAGCAACTATAGCCTTTTGATTCTCCTTCGCCTCAGCGATGGCGGTGGGCGAAAAATCGAGACCGAGGACGTCGTAGCCTAGGTTTGCTAGAAGGAGGGCGTCATGCCCTTTACCACAGCCCGGAACAAGAGCCGTGGGCTTCTTCTGCTGTTGCCCCGCAGGTGATGGGGCTGGGGGAGGCGGGATGAGATCCGGACGGGTGGTGATGATATCGAGGAGGGCTAGGGAGGGTCCGCCGCGATCCCAGGGGGTGAATTTCTCTTCCCAGAAGGCGGACCATTTCTCGCCGTGATTTGCGAGGGGTGTGTTTGCGAAAGCTGTGGAGAGCTTGTTTGGGTCGGTTGCCATGATGGGCTGGCTTCTTGTACTCGCCAGAGTTGTGAAGGGAGTGGATGGTGGGGTTGTGCGGTGCTTTTGATGAAGTGTCTGATGGACTGACTGTCTTGATGGAATGGTGGGATTCAAGCGGTTTTCTGGATATAATATTATCGACGATTGATATATTCAGTAGTCTTTAATCCAGTAATATGAAACAGAATGAAAGTCGTCAGATGAGAATGAAGTCATGAATCAGAGTAGACCGAAGCTAGCGAGGTCAGTCTAGTCCCCGAGGACCCCGCGCTGTATTGTGGATGGGGCGCAAATGCCCCGCGCTGGAGAACGGCGACGTTGATCCCTGTCGCTGTCAGGGACGCATCCCGAATGTTTGGGATAATCACTCACCTAACCCAAGCTTACCGAGCCATGTCTAATCACATGGCTCCCGACTGCAAGTCAATGGGTATGCTTTGTCGTGTTTCCTTTCTCAGCCGTATTTCATGGTTCTTCAGCGTTGGGATGGGAATTAGGTAAGTTCCGCCACTGTGAGAGGTGGGTGCGTTACACAGCTTTGCTAGCTTTGCTGCGATTAAGGATGGCGATTCATCGCGATCCAAAGGGTAGCTGTTCAAAGATATTGTTAGACGTGAGATAAGCGTGGGAGGTGAGTTTTGTATATTGGGGAAAGGATCATGGATGGAGGCTGAGGAGGACTGATCAACTAAGTCAACGCCGAGTGTAGATACAGTCAGTCATGTATCTACATTGACCGATTTATCAAACACTTGATAGAATGTTCCTGACGGTTCTAGAGCCCAGGAGTGATTTATGACCAACCATAAACTTAGTGTCTTGGTATACGGCTCTAATATTACCCGCGGGAAAAGTAGGCGGGAGTGGTCATTTCACCGATAATTTCAGGTGTGGCCCGGGGAGCCTTTTCGGAGACAACCGCCGAATCCCACCACTCAAGCGGGGTCGCCCCCCGTCCGGAGGGCGTCAGACAACCGCCCACCACAACCAAAGTCCCGATCCCGGCGTCGGGAGTCCTCATGACTTTTGCCGCTCACGCCTTTGCGACACGTCTCATCTCAACTTCAATCTCAAAAAATCTCACTCGATAAGACGCCCATCAAAGCCCTAGCGTCCTGCTTCACTGCCTCACTTCTTTTACTGGGGCTTTTGGCACTTTCGCCATCACACTCACCTACCTTACCTTAGGCACACATATAGCAAAAGCACAACCATTCATCGTGAGCAGAAAAGAGACAAGAGCCATGGCCGACCTATCAACCTGCCTACCCCTAGCCCGGGCCTCCGTCGTCGAAGCCCACAAGCTCGTCAAGCCGCACGTCCACTACACCCCCGTCCTCACCAACAAGACCCTCACAGCGTTGGCGTCGACGCCGCGGACTCCCGAAGAACTCAAGGGCACGAAATGGGAGGGGCGCACGCCGGCCAAGCCCGTGCTCCGGCTGTGGTTCAAATGCGAGAACCTGCAGCGCATCGGCGCCTTCAAGGTCCGCGGTGCCTTTCACGCCGTGGAGAGGTTGAAGCAGGAGCCTGGATGGGCTGAAGGCGGCGGTAAAGAGAAGGGTGTTGTTACGCATAGCTCGGGTATGGATACCTCTCTGTTCCTTGCTCAGTGAACGAACGAAAGAAGAGGACTATTTGGATGTGTACTTTTTTGATCTCAGAAGAATTCAACTAACACCACCACCAGGAAACCACGCCCAAGCTTTGGCTCTCGCCGCCAGAGAAAGCGGCATCCCAGCACACATCGTCATGCCGGACATCTCCCCGCCCAACAAGATCGCCGCGACGCGCGGCTACGGTGCCAATGTCGTCTTCAGCGGCAGCACCAGCGTTGAGCGCGAGGCCGTCGCCGACCGCATCATCTCCGAGACGGGCGCCCGCCTCGTGCCGCCCTACGACCACCCGGACATCATGCTAGGCCAAGGGACGATGGGCCTCGAGCTACAGGAGCAGGTGCGCGATCTCCTAGCCGCGGGCCACTCTGCCGAGAACCCCACGTTCAACTCCACGGGCCTTCCTGCGGCTGCTGTACCTAATGGAGACGGGGAGGAGAAGAAGAAGAACAAGGGTCTGGACGCGATCATGACGCCCTGCGGAGGCGGCGGCATGCTCTCCGGCGTAGCGCTGAGCTGCGAGGGGACGGGGATCCGGGTATTCGGCGCGGAACCCGAGTTCCAGGGCGCCGACGACTGCAAGCGCGGCTTCGAGAGTGGGAAACGCGTCGAGAGCGTAAAAACGCTGACGGTCGCCGACGGCCTGCGGACGCCCGTGGGAAAGCACCCGTGGTCCGTCATCTACGAGCGCCGGCTGGTGGAGAATATGTACAGCGTGTCGGAGGAGGAGATCAAGGCGGCGACGAAGCTCGTGTTTGAGCGGTTCAAGCTCGTGGTCGAGCCGAGCGGGGCGGTGCCGCTTGCGGTGGCGCTGTTCAATGAGGATTTCAGGGCCATGGTGGAGAGGGAAGCTGGCGAGACGGGATGGGATTTGGGGTTGGTTTTTAGTGGTGGGAATATGGCGTTGGAGGGGCTCATGAAGATTTTTGCTGCGTGATATACATGGAGTTTGTGTTGAGCAGAGGTTGGTTTGGTAGAGGTGTGATTCAGGATGTGCTTCTGTGGATGCTTCCTGAAGTCTCGATGTTGGTTTGCCATCTAGGAGATGGCGCTAGAGAACCTGATTCAACAGTCAAAACTTCCGATGGCACAGAAAACACGGGGTAGCACATTGGCCTGATGTTTCTTTATCCGTTGGGAGCAGGGCTAACCTTTGTCATTTCTGTCTACCCGATCGATCTTGAGCTGGTATTCACTGAGCTTGTGCCTTGCGTCATTCCAAAGCCGAAGCTATTTCCTTCCCTTTTCCACGGCATATATCATATAAAAAGGGAATCAATTGACCGTTCATACTTAACTTTCATCACAATGGAACATGATCTCGGGTTTGAGGGCCTAGTGCGCAAGTCTGGACTCCTGGTGTCATATCGCTATAAACGTGCAAACAGTCACATCACCTCGCAACTTAAGTGCAGAATCAGTTAAGATTACACGTCCGTTCTCCGTTACGTAGTACACGACAAAAACGGCCAGCGAAGTAAGAGAGTATCTTTCTCACTACCTGTTTATACTCTATTATATAGTATATAACAAATGCGGCCACTAAACCTAGAGAGCACCTTTCTTCATCACCTGGTCGTTTTCCTTTAGAAAGTACACGGCGAATACGACCGGAGAATTGAGAACGCATCTTGGAGATGGGAAGGTTGAGTTTTAAGGTCAGTTGTCGGAGCTGTCACGGGCCATTACGAAGTTGCTCTTACTCTTCGAGAGACCCCTGAGACTCGATACAACTGGCCGCATAACCCGGTTTCTGCTCAACCCCGCTGTGAACGTTTGTCGTGGGCAAGGGAAAATACAAAACTCCTGTCCGTCAATACTTCTTCTTACTTTCCAGCCACCTCTCCTAAACATCAAAATCGTGAATTGCCTAGTCGCTCCTCAAGTAGGTATCTTGACCTCAAGCAGTGCCTACAACGCCGGCCATGCACGGTGGCGGTCAATAAGATAGCGGCCTGGGCTTGGCTTACCTTATTCACGAGAAAGAGACTCGAAGAGCCCGGGCATTGTAGTCTCTCCACTCCTCTCTGATAGCTATGTCAGAACTAGTAGTCTCCTTGCCCTTCTTGATAAAGACATAGGAAGGGCCAAAATGGTCTTACCCTTGGCGGGCTCTAAATTATTCTCGGCTGGTATGACCGATGCGTCAACGCAACCGTATTATTTTACGAATACGCGAACGAGTGAACGTGAAGCACAGTAAAGAGATGTATCCTGATGGTTGAGGACTATCTCAGCAGCACTAGCTAGGAGGAACCCCAGTATCCGCCCCAGTTGCATGATCACCAAATGGAGTACCAAATGAACTAAGTACTACCAGTACTCGCATCGCAGGTTGAGAGCTATAAAGATCCAGAGCCTCCGCAGCTTTCCGCTCTCTTTTATTAAGACACAAGATGTTCCTCTCTCTCTCTCTTACGACGGCGCGACACGTGATCTAGAGCATAAGCCAATGAGTAGATTTCCCCTTCCTCAGATGGGCAGTCTGTGACGGTGATCCTCTGTGCCCAAGCAGTTCCTTCTTTCTCTCTGCATAAAAAAAAAGACATGAGATCGTTCTTTAGACACGGGAATCTCAAGCAAAAGTCAATAAGTAGTGAAAATGACCCTTTTCAAGATGCGGACTGCTAGTGATGTGCAACTAATCCTCTATACAAACGTCGCTCCTTTCTCCTCTATCTCAGAGCAGGACACATCGAGAGCTTCTTCGAGGTAGATCTCACACATCGTCTAGAGCACACATGCGTAAAGAAAACAGGCCCTTCCCGATACACACACCATCAATGACACCTACGTAATTATATTATAATATTAAAAGCAAGTCGGCTAGACACTAAAGAATAGCCTATAAGCCACGAGAATTTCTTTGTTTCCTCTACTTATTTGATGTGATATGCCGTTGTCTCTTTTGTCCTATCTTACTTAGATAGACACAACCAACGACATACAAATCCTCCCTTGTCCAACATCGGCTATTCGCTTGAACGCATTTGCCCACGAACGTCACCGAGGCTGGAGACGTGGTGTAAGGAACGCTCTGGACCTAGCTTATTCTTTTCCTTTTAAAAAAAAAACTTCAAGCCAGGGAAAGTAAGAGCAACGAAGGGTTCCCAACCTTCAAGACGACGGAAGGTGAGTTCGAACCCCCTTAAACAGGCAATCGGCATGTACCTCACGGAGACCTTACTCTGTTTTTCCTTACTCTAAAGTGACTGTGGAAAACAGCATTGTCTTCATAAACAGCATTGTCATCATAGAACGTTGCCTCAGAACTTCCAAGGAGTTCTAGAATCTGCCAGCCACTCTGTGTGTCACCTTGCCCTTTGGTGGTGCTTCAACATTCCCTAACGGGATAGCGATGAACCTTCTCTCCTGAAGCAC